ATTATTTCACTTTTTTTACAAACATTCACATCTTTTTTTTTTACCCATTGTCAGAAACTTTAAAAAATCTAAAAGACCAATAAACACACTACAAAAATATGTAAAAGAAAATTTAAAAAGTTGAAATAATGTATATTTTTGGAAAAACTTCTTTCAAAGAAGTCTTTCACTAAATAAAACACTTAAAAAATTAAAATTTTGAAAAATAGTCGGTTAAAAATAACGTTTGAAGAAAGATCCTTAACACACACACAACAAGCTTCGGCAATCTACAAATGGTAACTGAACACAATTTCACGGTTTTACTTGTCAAAACATGCAAAATACAGTGTTGCTAGCAACAAAATAGTGTTGCCTACACAATAATTTGTAACAATGTCGCAAATAATTATGAAAAATTGTGAATTTTACGTTTGAAAGGTGAATTAATGCTGACAATATAACAAAAAACGTGATGGCCCTATTTCAATGGCCACCCACTGTAAATTTTTGATTACTATTGTATATTCAGTTGTCGTAGAATGTTCTGCGAATTTATTTCCACATCGGAAATAAATTTATGTCGGGAAACAATTTTATGCGTAAGCTGCGTAATATTATTTCCTTAGCAACCGAAACTTGCGCCACGGAAATAAATTTATGGGGGAAATAAATTTGTACGACGACGGCATTTTATTAAGAAAAACGCGTTTTTTTAAAGTTATTCTTCAAGGAGCTTTATTTACAATATTTTGTTTACACTAGTATAAGGTTGTGACGAGAAGATCTTTACTGATCTTCTTTCAGATACCTAGTTTTTCAAATGTTCGTAGTATTTGCTTACTTTATAAATTGTATTAGTTTTTTTTATTTACTTTCATTATATTGTAAAAACGAACTAACAAATGTAAAGTGAAATGTTTAAAAAATTTTTTGTATGGTATTTCAAGAGCAAAGGTTTTTTTCAAAAAAATAGTATCGCAAACATTTTTATAGAGATTGGAAAGATTTATTATTATTTTTTTTTTTTTTATGGTTGAGATAATTAGTTTTTACTTTAGTATAGTCCTTAAAAATACAATGTTATTTAATTATTTTTTTTTTGTTATTATTTTTTTGAGTTTTTTTGTTATTATTTTTTTGAGTTTTTTTGTTATTATTTTTTCGAGTTTTTTTGTTATTATTTTTTCGAGTTTTGACTTTTTGCGGTTTTTTGAGATCCATTAAAAAAAACCTCATCTTAGTTTTCCTAAGGTGAGATTTTCCTAAGGTGAGATGATTTTTTAATGAACTATTCATTTATATTCTTTAAAAGGGAAGACTAAATTGTGATGATCTGCAAAAATAAATATAAATCTTATATTTCGGCTCCAAAAAATAATATTCTGTTAATATGCTGAAATTATGCAACCCTCTCCTAACCGAATAATTATTCAGTTATTTATTAAGCTTATTTATAATTCTTATAAGCCGTATAATTTTTCAATTCAAATTTTGTAATTATTTTTTTTTTTTTTTTACATATTATTTACCATTTCATTTTTTTTTTTTTTTTAATTTTATAACATTATATTACGAGTTTTATATATACTTTTAATATGAAATATAAATTAAATTTTGTAATAAAATTTTTTTAATAAAAATGTATTAAAAAAAAAAATTAAAAGAAAAAAAGAAAAGAAAATAGCATTAAAAAAAAAAAGAAATTACGGGCCCAAATAGGCCCCAATTCACGGGCCTATTTGGGCCCGTGAATTGGGGCCCAAATAGGCAGCCCATATGGGCTGCATATGTGTGACCCACATGGACCCCATTTTTTTATTTATTTAAACTTTTTATAATATTTTGAATAATTATTTATTTTTAAATTAGATACTTATAATTTAATATGTTTTCATAAATATATGACTTGAGCCTAGCTTTATAGAAATAATATAGAAAATCAAGTATAAGTATAGAAATATGGATATAGATATAGAAAAAGAATAGGTATAAATGTATAAATAGATATAGATATAAAAAATAAATATAAATATAAAAAAAAATAAACTTATACGAAAAATGTTGATATTGATATAAAATAAGGTAAACAGTATTAATCATTAAAAAATATACCACAGTATTTAAATAATAAAATAGTGAAAGTAATTGCCAATTAACAAAGTATATTTAAACCTTTTTAATTTATTACAGTATTTGTGAACAGCTCTATATAAGTGTCATTTTATTAACATTTGTGGGTTTATAAAAACTCTATTATTATATTAACTTGTAGGTTTATAAAAACTCAAATTTTTTATACTTCGAAAAATTTTTTTTTAGTCTTTTAAAACTGACTTTGTAACTTTTTTTGTTTAAGTTTTCTTTAATGTTTAAAGAAATAATTTTCAAATACAAATTAAAACTCTTTTACTACCACTAATATATGGCATTTACAACACTATTACGGAGTCTTTAAAATGATTTGACTTTTAATAAAAAGAAGATTTTTTGAAAAAGAGTTAATTGGAATTTAGTTTAAAAAAGAAAAGCTTTGAGACATAATTACATTTGAGAAACGTAAAGGGGTTTTTATAAAGTAAGTGTGATATTGTAATTTATACTCCTCCAGCTAATTGCCCAGCGGAGTACCTCATACCATTGCGAGCACATTTAACCAGTATTCTCTTTTCTGAGCACTCTGTTCTTTGAACGGGTTGAGATTATTGGGGATAAAATATTTTAGTGAAAGGCAGATATATTAGAGTTAGAAAGATAGTATAGAGAAAGACAGATCTGTCATTTAAGAAAAACAGGAACTAGAAAACGCCAAGGCCAAATAAGGACTAATATTTTTAGTGTTTTTTTTTTTTTTTTTTGAACACGAAAACGATAGCAAAAAAGATACTAAAAAACGTACGCATTTATTATCTTTTTATGTCGTAAAGTACGTACGCGTTTTTTAAGGAAAATAACCCCAAGCAAATATTTTTGAAAATATTTATGCATTTTGGGGACTTTATTAATTGTGGTTCCAATTCTGTAAAAAAGTGTTATATAAAAACCCATAATATTAAAAATCTTGATATAGCCACTATATAAATCTTTGTTCAATGAAAATTAAAACTAGATTATTTTCTCAAGAAACATTATTATTCATGGACCAAGTCTTTAAATAAACATGCGGCTAAGTTGAGTTTATTTTTTTTACTGATTTTCCACGATTTCCACATAATGCCTTACTATCGCACAATAGGATAGCATTTAAATTTAGAAAATAAGATAGAATTTAACGCTTTTTTAACTACATATATGGGTCCTAAATGGGCCCTATTTGGGTTATCCCTTGAATACAAATTTGTATTTAAGGGCTAGTGTGTGTGTGTGTGTGTGCGTGTGTGTGTGTGTGTGTGTGTGTGTGTGTGTGTGTGTGTGTGTGTGTGTGTGTGTGTGTGTGTGTGTGTGTGTGTGTGTGTTTGAAATAATAAATTTGATAACTCCGTTCATACTTGAATGTTTATCCGGATTTTTATTTGTCACGTGTTAAATCTTTTGTTCATGTAAATACCCGTTATTTTTTTTTGTTGGATGTCTCCAAGAGTTTTCATATATATCGGTCACGGTTATTATCTGTTTGTGCCCGGTCTTCTGCTAAGGTAAATGAAAACAAATCAGGTAGAATATGTGGCTTGATCATTAATATAAATTTATAATTGCAACACTGTCATTACTATTCAATATTAACTTTGAAAACGTATATTTTAAAAAATATTTAAATATAATATTGTTATTTTGTTTTTCTTTAAATTATAATTAAGGAAAGTTGTAATTTTTTAAAAATAAGACTTTTAAAACCAACTTTGATTTTTTGATAATAATAAATAACTATAGTTTAATTTATATGTAGTTGTGTGCGCAACAACTTTTACTAGAAGTTGCCTTATATCAGGAAGTGGTCTGTAGTTGAGGGCACCATTACAATTTTTTGTTTTTTAATTTGATCAGTTGGGATCCAAAACTTAATTTTTGGTCAAGTAAGTTTATCATAAATTGGTCTTAATCAGACTATCTAGTTTTATGAAGTTTAAATAGAATTTCTTTTTATAAATATAAGAAAAAATTATGTATCTAGTATTTTAAATTTTAATAAAAAACAATAACTTTATAGTCTGTTAGTGTAAAAGCAAATAAATAAAAACAATTAAGTTTTTTTTTTTTAATACATATATGCTACTTTGTTGGTAATATATAAACTTTGTTTGTAATATATAAACATTTTCAATAATGTGCATAAATAAAATTTTGATTTTTAAAAATGTAGTTGCTAATTATAATAAATCAAATATTCATATAGAAAGAACAGTTTTTTTGCTTTTTTTTTTTTTTTTGTATTTTTTTAAACAGATTTTGTTGCCTTTTTTTTTTCCACATAAAATAATGGTTAAGTTTTCTTAGAATAATTATAAAAGTATTCATGAAAAACTAATTTTATTCTAAAATAACCTGAAAAAGTTTATTTTTCACAAAATGTTTTGTTGGTATATCATAGTGTCTGCTTTAAATATGTTATTAATATATAGTATAAGTAGTACTCTATACAACTTACTTCTGTAAAGCAGCTTTGCTTGTCAATTGAAAATTATGGAGGTGAGCTTGAATAAAAGAGATGGTTAAAATTGCACGTTAATGATAGTATAAGTATAATATATAAAAGCATTTTACTATTTTATTTACAAAATTTTTTTTTTTTTTTTTTTGTAGTGTTAAGTAAACAATTTTTTTATTGCTGACATGGTTAAAGTTTTTTTCTTTTAACACCTTAAATTCAAAATTTGAGTTTTAAGTTGTTTTATGAAACTTTTCTAAAAATAGAAAAATTATTAATCCAATATTAAATTAAAAAATATTGACTAACTAAGATATTTATTAAGATAATATCTTTTTATTAAAATTATAGTTATTTTTAATTTTTTATTAAATGTTGTTAATTAAATTTATTTATTACTTTTAATTTAGTTATTAATCAGATATAAATTAATTAAAAATTTCTTTGATTTCTAAAATCTTTGTGTATAATTTTTAAAGATACATAGATGTAATATAGTGTAATTATTGTGTTGAAATGAAACGAAGCCATGAAGATGCTGATATTTATAATGTAAGACGACCAGCTATGCCTGGATCTCATAATCTTACCAGTATTTCAGCTTCGCATCAAAATGCTGTTATAGTTGGATCTCATCCTGCTTCAGGTCTTTCTGGTTCACACCAGTTATCTGGACCACACCATCTTCCTGCCATATCTGGACCTCATCCTCCTGCTGGTTCACATTCTACTTCAGCCAGTTTTTCTCATCAAACTCATCCTCCAACCCCTAAACAGTTGACACATAATTTCGAGCAAATGAGAGATTTGACAAGACCAGCATTTTCTGGTTCTCATATGCCTCTACCTAATGTGTAAGAAGCTTTTTTCTTTTATTTTTTTTTTATTAAAAAGTTTTTTTTAAATGGAAAACCTTTTAGTTATTATAGACTTTCTTAATGGTTAGATTTGGGAAGGTAAACCCATAGGTTTTTACCAACTCAATTATTTTTTAGTTCAAACTCTTCCCCTCCAGTAAACGGGTCCCATTCTTCATTGACTCAACAATCTGCTCATATGCCTCCTAAGGTTTGATTTTTTAGAAAACTTTAAATTTAAATATTCTTTATATTTAAATATGTAGTTTAATAACGTTAATTAATAAACATCTTGTGGAATAATTAATTATTAATTGATTTATATTTATATTGTAAATTAATAAAGTTTTTATGTCTATAAAGTAAGATTTTTATTGTATTTAATAAATATTTATTTTAGCCTTCTTTTCAAACACATGTTCAAGGTCCATCTCATGTAGCTGGAGGACAGCAGCAGTACCAGAGGTTGAAGGTAAAGATGATTTTAATATTGATTAATTAAAATGTACTGTTCCTTATTAGTTGTATTGTTGTTTATAGGGAAGAAGTGCATTATTAGTAATATTGTTGTTTATAGGTGGAAGATGCATTATCATATTTAGATCAAGTAAAATTACAGTTTGGGAATAAGCCTCAAGCAAGTTATTCAGTTTTAATTTTTTTTTTTTTTTTACTTGGTTTCTAAAAGTTACTATAAATATATATCAATTTTATTATTTTTTAAATATATTTTTATAGGTCTACAATGAATTTTTGGATATCATGAAAGAGTTCAAATCACAAACGTATGTTGAAATAATCACTTAAGTTAGCTTATTCGATAGTTAAGCTTTTTTTATATTTAATAGGTTCTATTGTTTCATTTATATTTGTGTTGGTTTTGTCTTTTTCAAATTTAGTATTGATACGCCTGGAGTAATTAGTCGTGTATCAGCACTTTTTAAAGGACATATTGATTTGATTGTTGGCTTTAATACTTTTCTGCCTCCTGGTTACAAGATTGAAGTAAGTTTAACAGATATTAACACAGTCAATGTGTGTGCACCAACTGGTACTACAACTCACCTTATATCAGGTAGTGGTCTAATAGCAGCTCCTAGCCAGCCAAACTTGAATAAGGTAAAAACTAAATAATACTTTTATAACTGAAAATTTAGGTTTAATAACTTAAGATGTAGATAGATATTTTGTTTCTAAAATTAGTTTAAAAGAAATTTATGTTTTCATAAATTTTTTCATTTTTGTTTTACTAAAATTTTAGCCACCTGTTGTACAGTCTATAAGCCACGTAAGTACCTTAGTATCTACTGCTGTAACTACTACATTACCAAAATCTCCAACTCGACCTATTTCTTTACCTTCAAAATCCTCTTCCCCTGTTTCATCTGCACCTGTTATGTCTTTACCATCCCCTGGTGTCCATTCTCAAACACAGGTAGGTGTTTAGTGTATATAGTTATTTTCGAATGCTTATACATAAAATTAATTTTGTTGATGTTTTAAATTAAATATTTCAAGGCTCAGCATCATGCTATTAATTATGTCACAAAAATAAAGAATCGGTTTCAAGGGCAACCTGAAGTCTACCAGAAGTTTCTTGACATTCTCAATAATTATCAAACAGAACAGAAAGCAATTAAGGAAAATACTGTGGATCAGTATGGTAGAGTGTGTCAAGAACAGGATATTTATGCTAGAGAGGGAAAACTTGCTACAGAGGTCTATCAGCAAGTTGCTAAACTTTTTAATAAGCAAGAAGATTTATTGCAAGAATTCAGTCAGTTCTTACCTGATGCTACTGGATCTACATTTAATCCAAATATGGTATCTACAGTTGCAGCTGCTTCTGTGGTTACTCAATATCAACCATTATCTAAAGGTGGAAAGATTACGACATCTGCTGGAAATAATGCAACAAAAATATTAACTGTAAAAACTAAAAAACTAGGATCTCAAAACAATGTGAAACAAGAACAAATGGAAATTGATAAAGATAGCTCAGATAAAAATAAAAAACGCCATAAATCAGCATTAAAAGATGTTTCCCTTGAGGAAGCTGTAAAACATGGAAGTTTCAGTGATTTTGCATTTTTTGATAAGGTTCGAAAAGCATTAAAAAGTCAAGAGGTGTATGAAAACTTTCTTCGATGTTTAACACTATTTAATAATGAAGTAATTTCCAGGGCTGAATTAATTCAATTGTCTACTACATTTTTGGGGAAATTTCCTGATTTGTTCAATTGGTTTAAAACATTTCTTGGATATAAGGACAATCAACAGCCTGAAACAAATATAACAGGATTTAAGGACAGAGGAACTGGTGGAGAATTAGCTCATTTAGAGATTGGTTAGTATATTTAAATACAATTTAGTTTCTTTACTTATTTGTTGGAGTGATATTAGTGTATTGTTGATAGAAGTACTGTATAATTTCATATAAACCATATTCAATTATATTATTATAATATTATATTTGTGGTTTAGTTTTTGAATTAGCTATGAATTTGGTTATACTTGTTAAATTTGTAAATATTGTAACTTATTGAATTTCATCTTTTAAGGATAACAAGTGTGTTGGGGACTTTTATAAATAGAAGGCTAATGTGTTACTAGAATGTTTCATATTCATATGTTTTTTATAATTTTAATAGATTTTGCTTCATGCAAGAGAAGTGGCGCAAGTTACCGTGCTTTACCTAAAAGTTACACTCAGCCAAAGTGCTCTGGCCGAACACAACTATGTAAAGATCTTCTCAATGACACCTGGGTTTCACTCCCATCTTGGTCAGAAGACACTCAATTTCCTGGTACACGAAAAACACAGTATGAAGAATATATTTATAAATGTGAAGATGAACGTTTTGAACTTGATATTGTTGTTGAAGCCAATCTATCAACAATCAAAGTTTTAGAAGGCGTACAAAAAAAACTCTCACGAATGAACTCTGATGATCAGCTGAAATTACGCTTAGACAATTGTTTAGGAGGCACTTCTGAGATCATTCATAGGAAAGCTATTTATAGGTATCAATTAATTTGTTTGTTTTTTTCATTTAAAGAAAAAAACTTTATTAAAAAGAGTTTTAATGAATCATGCTTATGGAGAAGCATTTTTTATTTTCAGAATATATGGAGATAAATCACCAGAAATCATAGATGGGTTGAAGAAAACACCTAATGTTGCTATTCCTGTGGTTTTAAAGCGACTCAAGCAGAAAGATGAGGAATGGAGAATTGCGCAGAAACAGTTTAATCGTATTTGGAGAGATCAGAATGAAAAATATTATCTTAAGGTAAGCTAACATGTTTTTTTTTTTAAATAAGTATTTTCTTGTTAAATTAAAAAAAAAATTTTAAACAGGTTTTTGATAAAATTAAAAAAAAATTTATTTATGAACGTTTATTGGATATAGAAACATGTAGAGTTTTAAAATTAAAAAAAATAAATATTTATGAACGTTTATTGGATATAGAAACATGAAGAGTTTTAAAATAGCAATTTAGTTAAAAAGATAAAAATTATTTTAGTAAAATTAACATGGAAACCTAATGACTCCTGTAATAGTAGTTTTTCTGTGTATTTTAATAGCTTGTTAAGGATTTGGAGTTTAATAGCCTGTTAAGGATTTCGAGTTGGAGATTTTGGTAATGTAGTAGTTACAGCAGTAGATACTAAGGTACTTATGTGGCTTATAGACTGTACAACAGGTGGCTAAAAATTTTAGTAAAATAAAAATGAAAAAATTTATGAAAAAATAAATTTCTTTTAAACCAATTTTAGAAACAAAGTATCTACATCCATTTTTTGGTTATAGAAAAGCTTTTTTAAACAATATACTGAAATCTGTTTTTTTTTTTTTTTTATAAAGGAACAATTTTTGTTTTCCTTTGTTGCAACCTTTAGTTCTTAGCCAGTCTTTAATTATTTTTTTTAAGCATATTATATTTTTTTCATCTCATTTTTTAATGTGTTTAACTTTTTAAAATTTTTTTTTCTTTTAGATTTAAATATTTTTTTCTTCAGTCTTTAGATCATCAAGGTATAAACTTTAAACAAAATGATTTGAAAGCTATTCGATCAAAAAGTATTATTCAACATATCGAAATGTTATATGAAGAGGTATTTATGAAGTATTTATGAAGTATTTATGAAGTATTTATGAAGTATTTGGAATAATTTTTTCCCTTGAAAAAATTGCATACTATCATCATTGCTCATTATTAGAGGTTTTAAGTTAAAGTTATTTTTACTTCAGATTTTTTTAAACCACTCTTTCGAGTTGGTTGACATGAAATAGAAACCATTGAAAACGAATTAAAAACTGCATCTTTTTTCATTTTTTGACCATTTTTCGAAATAATTAAATTCTTCAAAAAATGACGGGTCCTAAACTTTATGTGGCTGTATCTGTTGAGTGTCAAAATATATTTTGATAAAATTTGAAACCTAATTACAATTTTTGATGGGATTCAAGATAAATTTTTTTTTCCTTTCAAAAATTACTTTTCCTTAACCAGGGGGATGCAGGAGGGCATTTTTTAAGGGTATTCCTGCCCCTGTGATCTCAATGCTGTAATTTTTAGCAAAAAAATATCATTTAAGTGAATATTAGCAAAATAATAGTTGCAATTATCTTGTCAAAATCTATTAGGAATGCAACAAATTTTATATCTCTACTGACACACGCAAAACATGAATAAATCTCCAATAACATTCAGACAAATGAAATGCCACAATCAGTATTTTACATATTATATGTTACAAAAAAAGATTTGGTATTTTTTCAATCTAAATATATTCTTGAAAAATGTTTTTACAATCTCGTTGAACTGTATTCAACAACCATACCTCTTAGCTTTTCACTGTGATGGGCGTTTTTCTCAGACACAAAGATGGATGTTTTTCACAGACAACCTTTTCAATGTCTTGTTTAAGTTTTTATACACTGTTTCAGATGTTTGTCCTGATGTAATACTGAGCCTATCGAGATACTCCTTGAGATGGAACCTGATTATGTGAAAAATTATGTGAAACATCTAAGTGAAATCTTCAATGTGAATACATCATGAACTTTTAAGTGAAGCATAGACTTGACAAACTTGTCTATTTTTTCTTTGTAGGATATATCGAGTTTCATTCCAAAACAGCATTTTCCACCATTCACAAGTATTTTCCACCGTGACCCTTCAGTGGTGTACAGTCGATTTTTAGATGGAAGCAACACGTTTATAAAATATTTTCTTTAGTATTTTTTTCTAAGTTTATATTCATCAACAAACTTCAAATTTCACGCAATAATCTCTTATACTTCAAAAATTATGACCATATAAAGTTTTAACCCCCCTTAATTTGAGGGGGCTGTAAACTTTGTATGGCCATAAGAACTGAACCCTAAGAGATTATTGCATGAAATTTGAAATTTGTTGATAAATATAAACTTAGATAAAAATACTAAGAAAATTATTTTATAAACTTGTTGCTCCCACGTTAAGGGCTGGATGGGCCCAAAAATTGGGTTTTTTTTGCCCCAAGCTCCAATCACCTCAACTGTTTGCAAAACATTCTCATTTGACATAAGCATCAACATACAAAAGTTTGCACATTGCCTGTAAGTGTCAAAATTCAAACATCTAAAAATCGACTGTACACCACTGCCCTTTATTATAGAAAATAACTTATAGGTATCGCTTATTTAAAATATAAATGAAATAAGGTACTTACTGATAATCCAATAATGATGTTGATCAATTTGAGGTCAGAAACCAAGGTAAACTTCAATTGTTACCAAGGTAACCTTCAATTGGTTGAATTAAAGGAGTTGGAAAAGTGTTTTTAGATGGTGATGATTCTCTTCTACGTTTCGAACTATACCTAAGATAATCACTTTATTGACTCTGGTGTACTTCTGTTTTCTTGGTTGAAAATCTTATGCTCTCCATCAATACCAACACGTACAACAAAATTAAAAATAACCAACTTTCTGAAGGAACAAACTTCAGTTACGAGCATAGATCAGTAAAATAAACAATATCTTTTTCAAATAAACCAATTTTGAGCTGACATTTTATCACATCGTAAAACCTATTCAAGTAGCGAGATCTGTTCGTATTTTTGGCATAGGTGTTTTTTCGCCAAAAACAGTCACCAAAAACAGGTATTCCTTTAAGCATACAAGAAACAACTCTGTCAGCAGTATTTTGATTTATTGAAGTAATTAAGGCGATTTTGAACAGTTTTTTTTGTTGTTGTTGATAAAGAATACCAGGAGCAACAATTTGACAGCATTCTGAGCAAATTTATTTTTTCGAATGTAATCTTTTCAGATTCTACGTAGGTGAATTCAGAAAGATTAGTGTACTACTATTTTTCGCGATGCAGCAAATAGCACAATTGCAGTTGCCATCTTTTTGTTTAATTCTTCCCAACTTTTTAACTTGATTGCAACCATTTTTCTAGGAAATCTCCACAGCTTTACTGATCGCTTTACCTTTCTGTTTTAAATATAAGTTTGTCTTACAGCTTCCGCATATTCCAGACAGATGAGAACTTAGGTTCAGACTGAATCCAGGGTCCACAAAGTCTTTGATCAGATGAATTAATGAATCATTCTTCTCCAAAGATTTTTTATCTTTATTAACACAACAAAAACATATCCATCTTCTATTTTCTGAATGAGATTTTGCTTTTTGCGGACTCATTTTGTACAAAAACGTTTTTATTTAGTATTTTCTGTATTAGGTTATTTAAATTTTATAAATCAATACTCTAACAAATTGTTTAATTTAAACAAATTATCAGACAATTGACGTAATTTATTGAGACTAGTTTATTTAAATTGTCGTGTTTAATAATCGTATTTATGCCATTATTGTACATGTCGTGTTTAATAATCGTGTTTATGCCAATAGTTTGATATTAGATCATTTATAATTAGATTTAAAATAAAATTATCTTCAATTTCAGGCACAAACGATGTGGTTTGCAAACAAGAGAAGTATCCTTGAAAAATGCCCCCTGCCCCCTGGTTGAGGGAAAGTAATTTTTGAAAGAAAAAAAATTATTTTGAATCCCATCATAAATTGTAATTAGGTTTCAACTTTTATCAACATATATTTGAACACTCAGAAGATACAGCCACATAAAGTTTAGGACCTCCTCAATTTTTGAAGGTTTTAAGTATTTAGTATTTATAAAAATGGTCAATTTTTTTTTTTTTTTTAATTTTTTATTTTAATTCACCTCCTCAAGGCCGAGAAGGCCACTACAGACGAGGAGGCTACTTATTTGTGGTTATAACCCTCTCTCAACTCTATAACTCCGAAACACGAACCTCGACGAGCAAGGCCGCTGCGCCTTGCTCGTCGAAAATATAAAGCAACAAACAATTAAATAATAAAGAAATAAAATATAAAGCAACAAACAATTAAATAATAAAGAAATAAAATATAAAGCAACAAACAATTAAATAATAAAGAAATAAAATATAAAGCAACAAACAATTAAATACTAAAGAAATAAAATATAAAGCAACAAACAATTAAATAATAAAGAAATAAAATATCAGCAAGTATTCTAAAGGAGGAAAAAGGAAAAAAAATTCATTAATGCTGTAACTAAAATAAGGTAGTGGACAGTTCTAGGTGAAGCACAATCCTTAGAGGTCACTATAAACAACATTGATCTTTCTGAGAAATTGATATAAAGTCACAAGCTTCTTTTGTCAGCAATATGTACTTGCTTCTGTTAATACTGGCAGCATCCAATGCAAATTTTTTGTTGATATTTAAGTTGTTTTTTTTATTTATGACAGCCAGAATTAATGTCTATATAATGATTACATATAAAATATAATGGTTTTATGTTTTACATATATTTTTTCATGCATAGCGAAGTGATCAAATAGATGAAGGAAGCACTGAATTATCTGGTCCACATATCACTTTTGTTTATCAGGTATTATTTTAAAATTTTTCTATTCTATATCATGTTATTTTATATATCGGTGCAGTTTTACATAACCTTATGTAATATTATTGCGTTTTTTTAAAAAACCATTTCACTCCCAACAAGACAGCAAACAACCATTATTAGGTTTGGAGTTACTAGAAAATAAAGAATGTTTTTAAAGAGCAAGGAAACAGTTGATAAAAAACTGAAAAAGTTGTAGGTTGTATACGCCAGGAAAATGTGAAGATGGTAGAGAATTCCAAAGCATTAATGTGTGAGGAAAAATATTAAATGAATAAAAGAGCATAAGCAATAGATACAGTAAAAAGATGGCACTTTGATGAATGGTGAGTCAAACAAGAATGAGTTTTAGTTGATAGAACTATAGATGATAGAATTTGTAGAAAAGAGAGAAATGTAGCTTTATGATGCTTATGCTTTATGCTTTATGCTTATTTATTATGCTTTATGAACCCTGATAGTTAGCGGCTCAATCTTGGTAGGTCTAACTACATCTACAATGCAGGCCTTGTTTTAAAGTGTTAAGCTGCCTGCAATTTATGCACGCATTACAAAAGCCTAGAGCGATTTTCATTAAGCAACTTTTTATCATTTTTTAACTTTTAAATTATTCTATAAGCGGTAAAATAAAAGAAGTAATTAACTTTATAAAAAGCAACATTAACTTTTGAATAACGATTATGTAAATAAGTTTGTTACGAAAGTTTGAATGACAATTATGTTAGATATAAGCGCTATTTACTAATAAAAAAAACTCAAAAAAAATTAAATACTAGGAAAATTTAATCTCTATTAAGCTAAGTATTTTATCGAAATATTTAGTAACAGAAAACAAAATTGTTTATAGTTAACAACAATTTTTTTTTAATACAAATTTATTAACGGAAAGTAAAAAAAAAAACATAAAGAAATATAATAAAAACTTTTATTTATCATCTTGTGAGCACAAGAATTTTATGCAACTTTTGATTGCAATAAAAAAAATTTACTTAAATTTCTATATAATAATAACTTATAATTAATTTATTTTTTTATTGTAATCAACAATTTTTTCATAGAAAATATATGATTTAATTAAACTAATTTTAAAAAAATATATAATTTTGTTATGATAAAAAAAATTTAATTTAATTTTGATTTAAAAAAATATATATATTAATTCTAATTTAAAAAAATATATTTATATTTTTTAAACATAGTTGGAAATGCTCTTGCAGCCAACATCCAACCATTATCACATCGTCGTAATGTTGTTTCTCTTTTCCTTTTTTACAAATTTTTTAATAATTTGTACTGTTCTAAAGAGCTAGCGTCTCTTGTGCCATCTACTAAATTTCATTCTTGTGTTACTTGTCATTCAAATTAGTCTCATCCTTTTACTGTGGCTGTTCTTAAGTGCTCCAAAAACTCATATTCATCTGGTTTTTTTCCTCGAACATCAGTTCTTTGGAATTTGTTTCTTTCTTCTTGCTTTCCTGATTCATATAGTTTGCAATATTTTAAATCATCTGTCAATCATTATCTTGCTCTATAAGCTTCATCTTTTCTCTTCCAGTAACTTCCAACTCTAATATTGGTTGCTTGCAACCTTGTTGGAAATTAATGTTGAAAAAAAAAATTAAGCTTATTAAAGTTAAAGTTAATGCTTGGGTTCAACTTAACTTTCAAATTTATTTTATAATATTACTAAATATTGTTCAATATTTAAGTTTTATTTATTCTTAATAAATAATTAGCTCATTTTTATTGCAATTGTTTTTTCAGTTTTCCTTCCTACACATTTTTTTTTTACTCAAAATTAAATTTTAAATAAATGTGTTTTAAGGCTGTATCAAAAATTTGAACAAAACCTAAGTTAAACTTTATTTTATAACACAAGTAGAGCACAGCAATTATTTTTAATATATGATATATACAACGATGTAAATTTAACAAATGTTGTTTGGAAAAATAATCTTTGCTTTTACAACAAAATGGCTAATAAAATAATAAACTTTTTATAAATAAAGTAGATAAATTAATGTAGTTTTGTTACTTGATAATTTTTTTTAAATAAAAAATCTTTTTTAGTTGCAAAATTTTTTAAATGATTATTTAAGAAATAATCATTTTAAAAAATTTTCACATTTTAATTTGTTATACAAATGTTGAGATTTGTTTATTTTAAAAACTTTTAAAAATGTAATATTAAAATTATTTAATATAAAAAATAAATAAAAAAATAAAATAAATGTTACCTAATAGTAATAATAAAAAACAAGTTAATGTCTTATAAAATAAAAAATAGAGAGAATTTTATGGCATCAAATTCACATTAGGCTAAAGCATTAAGTAATGCATCATTAGAAAAGCAGCCAAAATATGATAACAGTATTCTACACAGGGACAAGAGATTTGTAGAGGTAAAGGATGAAATCATGAGAAAGGAAATTACAAGCACAATAAAGAGAGGCAACCCTACCAGATGTTAACTTTACAATAGATTCTATATATAGTTTCCATGAGAGGTCAGTTATGAATCATAATTTGAGAAGGAGCAAAGTAGAGGATTTAGTTAGAGGGTTGCCATAGGAATATCAACAATATTGCAATAGTTGTTTATACTAAATAGCTTTTTTAGAGCTTAAATTTACAAGCCACTGCAAGCCCCAAGTTGTTACAGAAGAGAGATCAGATTCATTATTGCCTGCCTGTTTTAAGACAGGACTGCAAACTTGAGTCCTCAACAAATAGAACTACTAAAGATAAAAAGTAGAATACCCTTGAGGTATCCCAGAAATTACTGATAATTTACCTTGTCTTCTCCATTTGATGCGCAGTACAAGCTTTCCAATACAACAGTTAGCAAGTCAGCCATAGAATGAGAAGATTGAAATCTGTACTGATTGTTAGAGAGCAAGTTATTAGACTTAAGTAAAATGTTAGTGATTTGTTGATAAAAGACTTATTATACTTAAAGACCTCACTAATATAGAGAGTAGACCGATTGAATGATAATTGGAGAAGTCATTGATTTCTCGTACTAATAAACAGAAATTTTTTTCTAAGAGAATTCTTATGAAAAAGATTAAAAAAATGAATTTGATAAAATGACTAAAATTAGAAATAGCTGCAGCACAAAAAGTTAAAAACCATAGAATAAGGCTTATCGTGAAAGCAACAATAAGGATTAAAAGCTTCCATACCTGTCTGGACCCAAGAGATTACGTAGGAGGTGCATTTATCAGTGGAGAAATGAAATCCATCAGCTCAAGAACCATCACAAAGAAAATCATTAAAAGTATTCCAATCAGCTTTAGGTTGATTCTGAAGAAAAAGTATGAGATAAAGATTAAGATAGGTCATTGCATGGTCCGAACTACCTAAAGGAGAAAAAGGAGAAACTGAACACAAGCTAGGGTCAGAGACAAAACACAAATCAAGGAATAAAGGTCAATGATTAAGGTTGCTAAAAAACAAGTCACCAAGTTAACTATCTAAGTGAGGAATACAGAAGTTATGAGCTTTACTGCAGGCTCAGTGATTTTAGAGCCAAACCATTCAGTGTGATGAGCATTAAAATCACCAATAACAATATTTGCGGATATAGAGAGGCTTGGTCAATTTGATCCATTACCAGGTTTTATAAAATAAATCTTATACTATTATAAATTTTATACTACTTTTTTATACTAATAAGTAAAATCTAGTCTAGTCAAAGATGAAGTCTTCTAGTATTGTCTATTAATAATGAAATTTTAAGAGACAACATAAATAAATAATTTAGTTAAATGTTTTATCTCTATTTATATTATATCTTTATTTTATATATTGTTTAATAAATTTATAAGGAATAATTTAGGATCAATCGACACTTGAGGATGCGTCATCATTAATAATTCATCACATGAAGCGTCAAACTAGTATTCACAAAGAAGACAAAACAAAGATTAAAGCTGTCCTGCTTCATTTTTGTCAAAATTTGTTTTTTGCACCGCGCGGTGAATTAAGTGATGATGAACAAGAAGAAGTTTTAGAGAGTAAGCATATATCATATCAAAATGATGAATACAATTTATTCTTCACTAACAGCGCATGGTTCATTATGTTAAGGATGCATCAAGTATGTTTTATTTTTTTCTTTAAAATCCTAAAGTATCTTTCTGGAGTTGTTTGCTTATCTTTTGTAAATGTCCATTTAAAATGGGTATTCAAGTTTAAAAAAACCAATTAGTTTGGTCCCTCCTCCCTCCTCCTCCTCCTCCTCTCTCTCTCTCTCTTTTTATATTTTTAAAGCTTTTATATTCAGTAAACTTATTTGAACTTAAAAACTTATTAATATTATTTGAACTTATTAATATTATTTGAACTTATTAATATTGTTAGCTGTAACTTATGTTGAGTTTTTTGTTTGTTTTTAAGATAAGTTACAATAAAAAAAACTATTTGAAAATTTTTTTAGATGCTTTGTGAAAGGTTATTGAAGATGAATCAACTTGCTGCAGAAGCTGCAGCATTTGAATTAAATGATAAAAAACATAGAAGAGAGGGGACAGCAGTTGCTTTGCACTTAAAAAAGATGCCAACAACTGATATTGAGGAATATTATCCTGGATTTTTAGTTATGGTGAAAAATTTATTGGATGGTATGTTTGAAATAATATAATTAGTTATTCTGTTTTTGTTTTTTTAAGATAATGTCAAGTTAAAAGAATTACTTCAGTTAAAGAACAAATCCAATTTTTGTTTTAAGGTCATACAGATTCTAATTCATTTGAAGATTCTTTACGTGAAGCTTTTGGAGTAAATTCGTATATTGCATTTACAATAGATAAACTAATTCAAAATATTGTTCGTCAGGTATTGTTATCAAGTCCAATACAAAACAGTTTTAGTTTTTATTTTGAAATATGTAACTTTTAATATAATTTTTATTATATACACTAATAGTGTATTATACTTTTTTTATATATTACTGTTATTTCTTTGTGAACTATACTTGTCAAGAAATATTTTCCGTATTAATGGTTTTTTCTGAAGGAAGTGAATATAATATATATCTACTTTTTGGATTTATTTGGCATGATATTAGTACTCAGGATTTAAGTTGGATATTAGTGGTTATTTTTGCTTAACATTTCAGTATAACATTGCCATTGTTGTTTATGACATTAATATTAAATTAATGATACCTTTTGTCTCATTTGTTTCAAATCTTTGGTAAAAATATATACTAAGGTTTTGGCTTTCATTAAAAAATACATATTTATTATACCTACAGTATAGCAACACACTCCAATAATTTTTGAGAGCTCTAATTTTTAGAAAAAGATAATTTAAAAAAGCCACAATAAATAACAAAAAATTTTGTTGTTCTTTTATAAATAGAAATATATATTTATAAAAAAAAAATATAGTTCAACTTTTTTCTTTAGCTTCACAGTCTTGTAACAGATGATATTAGTATGAAACTTTATGCATTATATGAAGATGAACGTAGGAATGGTGCAGCAGGTGGCTCGTCAATTACTGCCACTGCTAGATCTGGGTTGGAGTTAGCTTACCAAAAGAAAGTGGAAACCCTACTTTCAGATGAAAATTCATATAAAATATATTTTGTAAGTTTCTTTCATGCTAAGATTATTAGTTGTTAATTATTTAGTTGCATAACTGTTTTTTTTTTACATGGAATAGCACAAGGATAATGGCACATGCAAAGCCAGTATAGAACTTCTTCCTAATGAAGGTGATTTATCTGAAGATCAAGCTGAAGTTGAGGTCCTTGTTTGTTTGTTTTTTTTTATATCTTTTTCTTTTTATGATTTTCTTTTTAACTTTTAAAGTAAAGTAAGGCACACCAAATATATATATATATATATATATATATATATATATATATATATATATATATATATATATATATATATATATATATATATATATATATATATATATATATATATATATATATATATTTATTTATTTATTTATATATATATATATATATATATATATATATATATATATATATATATATATATATATATATATATATATATATATATATATATATATATATATATATATATATATAGTGGGTGCTCATATTATTAGAAACACTGTCTTTTTTTTGAAAATTATGTGTTAAAGGTTATTTATTATAGAAATAAAAAAGTTGCAGACTATTTTTTCGTAACTTTTGAGTGTTGCGGTCTATATTTTATAAAAAATATACTTATTTATATTTTTTTTAAAATAATTCCATTATTGTACAAGCAAAAGATTACATATTGGTGATTTATTTTAGTATTTTGTTATCCCTCCCTTGGCACTTATTACCGCTTCTACACGTCTTGGCATACTTTCTATGCATTTTATTGCATTATTTTGAATATCTATGTTATTGTGCCAGACTTTGATCATCTTTTCAATTAATTGTATTTTGTTGGTGATCATTTCAGAAGCAATTTCCCTTTTCATGATCTCCTACAGATTTTCAATAGGGTTTAAATCTGGTGAGTTTCCAGGCCATGGTAGCACTGGAAGTCATCGACCGTCAAATGCCGATGACTTTTTGCCAAAGCAAGGCATTTTTGTTGCATTGCTAGAGTGAGCTTAGGCTTTTTAGCAGGTCGACAGCATCAAAATCCTTGTTCTTTGAGTCGGCGACGAACTGTCATTGGAGATACTGGTATTCCAGCATCTTGTATTAAAGTGGTTAGTATTCGCCTAGGCTTATTCCTATTTTCTAGGCAAATATCTCGTATTTTTCTATCGTCTCTTGGCGTTGTTAGCCGTTTTCTACCACAATGTCCTGTTCGTTGAGGAGTATAATCAGCATTTTTGTCCAGATTTTTTTTATTCGGTTGACTGTTGCCACTGAAACCTTTGTCATTGATGCTATACACCTTTGAGAATAAGAAGTATTCTTCAATAATGCTCCAACTTCTCTTTTTTTTGAGGGTGAAACATCTTTTGCCTTTCCTATATTGAAAAAAACACGTGATTTTAGTAAACCGTTATAGAAGTCAAGTTATATGTAAAAATATTGATTTAATCATGTTTAACTGTAAAAAATAGACACATAAATAGAACTCAATAACAAAACAATAAAAAAATCTTTGAAAACTTTAAAAAGAGAGCAATACACAAACAGCACTTCACGTGACAACAACACAGGTATAACTGCCAAAATTGTCAAAATTCGGGAAAAACCCTATAACTTCATAATGAGATGAAATGCAATGTTGCCAAACTCCCAGATTAAAGTAAAAGGTACATACATACTATTTGTAAAATAAAAAAAATTATTTTGTTAAAATGTTTTGTTAATTTTGAACTTTATTCACAAAGTTTTTAAAATTTGGTCGTGTTTCTAATAATATGAGCACCCACTGTGTATATATATATATATATATATATATATATATATATATATATATATATATATATATATATATATATATATATATATATATATATATATATATACATATATATATATATATATATATATATATATATTAATATATATATATATATATATATATATATATATATATATATATATATATATATATATATATACTATATATATATATATACATATATATATATATATACATATATATATATATATATATACATATATATATATATATATATACATATATATATATATATATATATATATATATATATATATATATATATATATATATATATATATATATATATATATATATATATATATATATATATATGTATTTATATATACATATATATATATACATTCATGCATATCATTGTATAACTTCTTTTTGTTGGCTGTTTATTCAATAGAAATGGTCAGAATATGTTGAGAGGTTTGTAGGTAACTCTGAAGTCATGTCTGAACTCAAAGAGCATCTATGTAAAAAGCCTATATTTTTGTTAAGGTATCATTGAACAATTATTATGCACAGCTTTGCTTTGCTGCTATTTACCTTCTCTCAACTTTTTCTCAAACTCAAAAATTTGTTTGATACATAAGTTTTTTAAATTTAGGAATTCACGGGTTTTGCAGCGTTTTTCAAAACGACAGAACAAACACAAAAGGAAAAAGCGAGATGAATGTGAAGATAATGATGAGCCAAGTGAAAGGTTTTAATAATTGTTTTTAAGGATAGTTAACTTAATGCTTGAATTATTCATGATTAATGGATTGAAAAAGTTCTTGTTGCCAAAAAATATTTTACATAATCTAAACTGTTTTTTCAATGAGAGTTAATGAGGATAACAGACTGATTTTTTAAGAACAAAAAAATTTTATCACAAAATCTGAATTGTTAAAAGTTACTTCACGCATTTTACGTGTTAACTGACTTATTAGCCAATTATGCGTTAGCTGACTCATTAGCCAATTACATTTGTTAAAACACTAAAGTAACTAAGCGCATTAAACATTAAATTACAGTATTAAAAAAAAATTTACTTACTTGTTACAAAATCATGGCCTTTTTAATTATGGTTGAAAAATGCATAAGGTTTTTTCAATTATTTTGATTTATTTAAATTTTTAATTTAAATAAATCAAAATAATTGAAAATATTTACTTTTTCATTATGTCTTTTTCTCTGTTAGCTTTAGGCCACTTGAATTTAATTTTTTTAATTATAGAACTTGTTACAGTCATCTGATATTGATATAATTCAATCATAACTTTTTAATTAAAAGTCGTAGAGACTATTTTATGTATGTACCAGTGGACTTACTTTCAAGAATGAATTATCTAAAAATTAAGGCAAATTATCATCAGCTTCATAAAAGTTTTATACCCTCATGAAGCAGATATTTTTAATATATTTTTGTGAGTTTTTCCTTGCTTGTGCATAAAATGATGTATGCAGCTAACAAGTTCAAAACATGTAGTTGTATTTGGTAATTATTAAATGTGTCATTAGTGTTATATTTTAAAATTATATTGTTTCATTTGTTTTTTTTTCAGTGTTTCATCTTCAACATCCGATGTCATTATGGACAACAGATTGGAGTGCAAAATCAGTCAAAATACTTATAAGATGCGCTACGTTTCGGGTACGAGAGATCTAATGTTTCGTAGAAGTACAGTTGGAAAATCTCTTAAGGTAAATATTTATATATTATTATAACAACACAATATTAGCATGCAATAAACTGTTTGCCATTTTTTAAAAAAGATCTGAATATCCTAAGTATAAACTTTTTTTCAAATAAAACTACGTTTTTTATCAGTTATTTTTAATTGATAGCATTAATATTAAAGCATAAATGTTTTAAAACCTTAAGTTTTTTTTGTATTGAAATATTCAAAAAAATTTGTTTTTGGGAGAAAGATAACAAAACAGAAACACAAAAAAAAAGTTTTTCAAGTGAGATATTAAATTTAAAAAAATGTTCAAGGTATTAAATTAAAAAAACAATTTTGTTTTACAAAAAAAAATTGTTTTGAGCTCGTGCTGATATTATGCTTTTTTTTTAATATTAAATTATAAATGTAATATAAAATTCTCTAAAATTTTGACTTAATAAATCTTCTAAATAATTTCTTCCTAATCCATTTACACAGGCAATAAAACAAGTTTTAACTGTAATATTTTAAACACGTCTGTTTTATATACTATCAGTCCCACTAAATTTAAAACTGTACAATATAAAATTCTGTTTAAATAAAACAACGTCGCACAGTGGGGCAGAATAGCTTTAAAACTGGAGGAATTTTTTTTTTTTGCTTTTGAATTTTCAGTTTATTTTATCAGCATTTGTTAGACTAATATTTTTAAACATTTTTTTATTAATATTAGACATGGGACAACTTATTTTCAAATAATTTAGAGTAAAATAATTTTAAAAACTGGTAAGCAAAAATAGTAAAAAAAAAAAAAAAAAAAATCAAAAGCATGCATGAATAAACAATGTTCAAAAGTATTTTACTTGGTTCACTAAAATAAATTACAATAATTTTAGTTCTATAAAAACTTTTTTTTAAAAATATATAATTACCTAGAAAAAAAAGTCATAAAAAAAAGTATTATGAAAATTATAAAACAACCAACAAAAGTATGAAGTTTCAATATAATAACTGAAACTTTTTTTTTTTTTCAAATCTAATTCACTACTAACAAGGTTGCATGCAACTACTAATATATTGGGAGTTACTAGAAAATAATGATTAGAGTTAAAGATCAAGGAAACAGTTGACAGAAAATTAAGCTACAACTTAAAAAGTTGCAAAAGAAGCAACTTTAGTAAATGCTAACTTTGCAAAATTGATTGTATAAATTGTTTTTATGAGAGGTCAGTAGTAAATGATAATCCAAGCTGACATAAAGAAGAGGACTTAGTTAGAGGATTACCGATTTTTAATATAGGAATGTTGACAGTATTGCAATAAGTGTTTGCAGTAAATAACTGAATTTTGGTAAAGTGAATATTCACAAGCCACTGCAAGCCTCGAGCTATTACAGAAGTGAGATCAGATTCAAGATCGGCTGCCTGTTCTTCAAAACTTTTCCATATACACCATATAAAGCAAGCTTATGCGGAAAAGCAGCATGCCAAACTTTATCGAAAGCTTTAGATATGTCAAAAGCAATAGTTAGCAAATCAGCTGTAGAACGAGAAGATCAAAAACCATCTTGACCAGATGAAATCAAAAACCAGCTTAGAGAGAATTGAAGAGAGTTTCTGGGAACATTTTTGTAAGACAATGACAGGAATGTTGTCTAAACCACAAACCGTAAAATAGTTTAATTTAGAGATATTTTTAGCAATAAAAGCTGGACTGATATGACAATGTATAACAATGATTTAATTTGTTTAACTTGGAATGACAGGAAGAGTATGGCTATTAGATTTATGAGTCAAATTAGAAGAGAAGTTCTTTGCAAATAGTCTTATTCTTGGGAGAGATAATAAGGTTAGAATTAGAGATGGAATGTTTGACTTATATGTTACCAGACTACGCTGATGAAGATTTTTCAGAGGTCTCTAGAGGCTAACTTCTAAGGTGAGTTACGATATTTTGTAAACTGGAAATAATGGAGCTTAGCATCATACATCACCTTTTTGCTTTGGTTTTTTGCAATGAACGTATCAAACTCAAGTATTTTTAACAAACTGCAGATTTAAAACTCTAAAAACAAAGCAGTACTTTTTAAAAAAGAGTTAAGCTGATTTATAAGTTTTACAAGGTTAAAAGTCAATTCTAAAAAAAATTATAAAACGCGGACATGGTAGACCAAAGACTTTTTTATAAATTACCACCAAGTAATGTTTCGTAACGCCCTATTTCATTTTCGTTAAAGTCCAGTTTTGAAGCGATTCTGCCCCACCAGGTTGCTTGAATTAAACGATTTAGCGTAGTTAATACTAATATAATATTAACTTGTTTTGTTGTAAAGTATAAGAAGTTTCTCCTAATTTAACTATCTTTAAAAAATAAAGGTTTTAAAGTTTATAATTTTTTTTTTCATACAGTCTCATCCTTCAATCAATATGCGTTTGCATTCTATATATAAAACTTCCCATGAAGCATGGCTGCACGAAAACACAACCAGGGATCAGTGTCACCAGACAGAACTTTGGTTCACCGGAAAAGACGGCTCCGAAGATATGATGTCGTGCATAACGACAAAAGACGTCTTTAAACACGGTGGGATCAATATAAATAAATATTCAGTAATTTACACAAAAGATTCTAAAAATGGATTTAAAAGTGCCTAAAACTGTAATAGAAACTATTTTAAAATATCACAAATTCGATCGTTTTTTAGAATTGAATAAACAGTTTTATTTTAAAGTAAAAACTTGAAATAAGGACTTACATGCTTGTTAAGATGTATAATGAAATTAGATAAAGAGTTACTAAAAAAAACTTTTAGTACAATACTTAATAAACGTAGTTAGGTAGTTAGAGTTCAATAAGTGTCTAAAGCAAAACATTCTTAAATACAAATGTTTTTAGATAAACGGTTAAGTATTTAAAGTTACTTTCTTTTTTTACGCCTAATGTAAAGCTTTAAACGGACAAAGTTTAAATGTACATTTATGACCAAAACTTTTATAGAAGAAGCAGTAAGTTAAATAATATTTATGAATATTATATACAGCTTCAAATATTTGTCTTAAAAATTTTAGTTTTTAAATTTTCTAATAATAGAGTATTTTAATCCAAAAGTTTTCTATTTTTATAATACATTAGTATATAAAAAAAGAATTTAGGTTTTTTTTCAGAAATCTATATTTGATAAGGTTGTTTGAACACTAAAAAAAAAATGTATTATTTTTGTATTGGTCAAACAAAAATTTTCCTTCGAAATTGTACTTGAACGATCGGCAGTTTTACGTTGACGTTTAAAATGCTCCCATCGATAAACCCTTGTTTTTGATTATTAAAATGTTTATGGAATTTTTTTTTACGCTAAACAGTTTTTAAACCAATATTGTTTGAAATACATACACTTTTTATTTATACATTGTTCCTAAATTATGCAAATATTGCTTGGTGAAGCACCAACGTTACAAAAATATATAAACTTCTCTCCAAACAAAAACATGCTATCAGGATTATTACAAATGAATGTCGACTCTTCCATACAAAAATACTTTTTAGTAAACTCAATATACTAAATGTTTTCAAAATAAATCTTTATCAAGTTCTTATATTTATGTTTAAACTTGATAAAAAAAACGGCGCCAGCTTTATTTTACTTATTATTTAAAAAAATAAATCATATATACAGCACAAGATTTTAGAAAAATAACAAAATACTCAATCACAAATCAAGGACCTAAATTATGGAATACACTTTTAAATAATGATCTTAAAACACTCTCTTCGCTTAACCAATTTAAAACAAAACTTACAGGTGTTTATACCTTAAAATGTCTGCGTACCTTAAATGTTAGTAACTGAATTTTGGTCTCTTATACTTTCAAATCAATTGGAAAAATGTTTATATTATACAAGTAACCAAGGTATAAAAGAATATAATTTAAAACAATAAGTCCATTCAATGTCAAGTACACTCTGACAACTGATGATATTCGGTATTTTTTCTAAAAATTAGAACACATATTTTTCACTAAAAACATAAAGTTCAGATTTAAAGCAAAGAATTAAGTTATAAAAACTGTATATGGAAATGATCAGTAGTATAAGGGCTATAGTTACTATTGCTATTGTAGTTATCATCGAAAACACTAAACCTACATTTTAAGGTACACATTTTTAAAAACTTTAAAATAAAATGATAAATTGCATTTGATAAATTGTTCTTTTATTATTGCACGATTATTTTTATTCACCTGCTTCTTCTAGTCTTTTTCGTTTTCTTTTTCAGCTACCGCTTCTAAGACCTTTTCCCCTTCCATTGATCAATGTTGTTGAGATATTTTTATGGTTTTTTTAGAGATGTTTTTTGGAGTAAACTTTGAATATGGTAGCAAATCCGGAACATCTTCAAGAGGTAATGGAGATCCAATAAGATCACGGATAACTCTATATGTATTTTCAAGTATTTTTCTGTAATATTAATGAGAACCTGTTCTAACATCGTGAGGGGATAAAGCAATTGGGACTTTTTGTATAGAGCATCGTTTTGGGGTCTGAGAAGAATGAATAGTTGCTATAAATTTTTAAAATTTATCAATTTGCTTTAAATTTATCATTTTGCATCCATCTATCATTTAGACCTGACTCTACAATACCAACCGCTTTAGTTGCTTTGATTTAAGATTCTTTTGTTGTCCATGATGACCATATCTCTCCTAATATTTCCATAAACCCAGAACGATCAATTGTCATCATACTAGAAAACAGTTTAGACTTACATTGACGATAATAATGGTATCAACTATGACTTACTTGATCCAACATTTGTTTTACACCTGTTGTGTCTAGCGGACCAATAAAAAGACGAATTTGTTTTTTACGACAATAATGAAGGGCGCTTACATAAAACCTTGAAGAGTGACCATCTGTAAGTATCACCACGGTCTCTCTACATTTTTCTCTGTTAAATTGCTTTCAATGAATTTTTAGAAATCGAGTAGAGAATGTTATGTAGTTGATATACGCTAAATTTTGAATCTTTTCCACAGAAAATTTTGGTGCCATTTTTGTGGCTGTTCTTTTTCCTGAAAATATTACATGGCAAATAACTACATCCCCAAGTGGGTGAATAGTAATACAATCTCTGTTCTCGCGGATCATTTGATAGCAACTGTCACCTTTTCCAGAAAACGGCAATCCACTTGCACTCCCGTCAACTCCAAAGTTTACAAACTGTGGAGTTTTATCATGATTAAATATACTTTTAGCATCTATTATACCGTACCACACTCCTTTTAAAGTTTTTTAACTGTTCTTCATTATACCGTACCACACTCCTTCTGAAGTTTTTTAACTGTTCTTCATTATACCCTACCACACTCCTTCTGAAGTTTTTTAACTGTTCTTCATTATACCGTACCACACTCTTTCTGAAGTTTTTTATCTGTTCTTTATTATACCGTACCACACTCCTTCTGAAGTTTTTTAACTGTTCTTCATTATACCGTACCACACTTCTTCTAAAGTTTTTTTTATCTGTTCTTCATTATACCGTACCACACTCCTTCTGAAGTTTTTTAACTGTTCTTCATTATACCGTACCACACTCTTTCTGAAGTTTTTTATCTGTTCTTCATTATACCGTACCACACTCCTTCTGAAGTTTTTTAACTGTTCTTCATTATACCGTACCACACTCCTTCTGAAGTTTTTTATCTGTTCTTCATTATACAGTACCACACTCCTTCTGAAGTTTTTTAACTGTTCTTCATTATACCCTACCACACTCCTTCTGAAGGTTTTTACCTGTTCTTCATTATACCGTACCACTCTCCTTCTGAAGTTTTTTAACTGTTCTTCATTATACCGTACCACACTCCTTCTGAAGTTTTTTATCTGTTCCTCATTATACCTGTAACTTTAAGTTCTTCGGCTAATTCATTTAAATGGCTTTCACCCAACTCTCTAGTGCAGTTTTAAAGCACGGTTCATAGAAACTATCCTTTGTCTCTTTTGAATTAGACTGAGGTGCTTTTTCACAAACCTTGACCAGAAAGAACATGATAGTTTATTTGTGAGTATTGCTTTTTCTGCATCAGGCGAAAGCTTGCAGTATAAACGATGGTTTTTCAGGTTTTTAATTGCATGCATACGATACTATAATATATTTAAAATGACTGAGGACAGTTCTTTTTTTGTAATACCTTGTAGACATCTGTTTTTATTTTTTGCATACAATACTACTGCATTCTCTTTATCCTTTGCCAAAATTGAAAGATGGTTTTTATTTTCACCAATTTTAGCACCTACTAAAATGTGATTTATAGTTCTAGGATCAACATTTTTACCACCTTCTTTAACAGATATGTAGCCTCAATAGTTATTAAACTTACATATATACTTTTTTACAATAATCCACAGCATTTGCTAAAATATTTTCATTCAATTCTATTTCGTCTCTATAATAAGCTGCTCGATATTTTGTTTTAAGTCTTAACCTAATATTGAACTTTGGTCTCATTTTAATATACTTTAACTGTAAAAACAAATATAAAAATCATTATGAATAATGTAAAATATAAATTTTTAGTTCTTTGAAAAATCTTACCTGCATTTTAAGGTACAAAAAACCTACATAATGAAGTTCAGCTGAAAATCTGAAAGTTATTTATACAATCTATTTACTTGTATTTAACATAAAACAATGAAGAAATTATAACACAAAATTTCAACAGAAATAAAAAGGAACCATAAAATAAAACCTACATTTTAAGGTTCACATGGTAAAATAGGCCTTATTTTGTAGAGCTATTGCTGATTCATTAAAGTCAGAAAGTACAACAAGTACCCCAAGGAAATTTAAATGACTATAAGGTATGTTCATATTCTGAAGATTAGCTTTCAGCTATTGTTGCAAAAATATTTATTACTATTCAAAAAATCAGCTACATTTTAAGGTACAAATACCTGTAAGGAAACTCTTCTACTAAACGACAATGAATTAAATTTTTTCTAAGACGTTAAATAAGGCGTTAAATAATAGTACTCTTATGTTTTGATTCATATAATTATGAATATATTTATTAATTTTATATATATACATATTAAAAAAAAAAGTTCTACACGATTTAATTTTATCATTTGTTTATTACTGAGTATGTAAAAAAGTTTATACTATATATTTTTGAAATTATATGTGAAAAATATCCTAATTGTTTGGCATATATTTATATGTGAGTGTGTCCATTCACTTTTTGTCATTTTCTTTTTGTTATCGATATGTTTTTTGTTGTTTTTTATGTTATGATTTTTTTTTTCAGAATTATTCTCAATTTAACAAAAGAAATTTAAAAAAAGAAAGAAATGCAGTATAAAAATTACAAAAAAAAAAAAAAAAAAAAAGAGTTTTTATTTATTTTTTATTTATTTATTATTTTTTCTTTCTTTCCTTATTTAAAATATAAATTTATGAAAATTTTAATGGTACTTGAAAGATTTTGTATTATCTTACACGGTTTTTAAAAGCTATGTTATGCATGTTATATATTACGGGGCTCATTAAAAAGACAACTATAGTCTTCTTTTTGCCCCTGTCATGTAACCTTTTTATTTTGTTATTTTATTTTGTTATTGTATTGTCAAACGGCAATATATATATATATATATATATATATATATATATATATATATATATATATATATATATATATATATATATATATATATATATATATATATATATATATATGTTCATTAAAAAAAAAATAAAAAAAATAAAGAAGTTGTATATTTTGATAAAGCTTAGCATCATTGAATGGTGCTCGTTCAGCTAACAGAGCTTCATTTCAAAACTGTCCATATATAAATGCCGCAAACAAAGGCGCTTTTACAGGAGAGGGAGTGTTCAACCCTCCCGATAAAGGTGATTTTCAAGTTATAGTCGGTTTTTTTTACGAATTTAGTTGGCTCGTCGGATATTTGACACAATTCAGTCGGGTAAATTTTAGTTTTGAAGACTTTTTTTGTTTGTTTGTTTAGGAAGCAAAATGTTACATTTAAGGATTCATCCCCCTCCCCCTCATTTTATTTGTAGACTTGCCACTGGTCTAATAACAAATTGATCCTGAAACAAATATATTTTACCAATATATAGCTTTTGTCATTCAACTTGCATTGTGTGTTGCACATCTAAAGCCCAAAACTTTACATATATTTTCGATTTTATATTTAATCTTTTAAAAAAAAATTTAAAACTCAAGAATATTCTAAGTAATCATCCCTGGAATGATGACCTTCAATTGTTTCACAATCGTATACTAAAAATTTTTTCACGGAGTTTGATTGGAAAAATGGAATTGAAAATTTCTTCGTTTTCTGTGGGAAACAACTTCTTGTTGATTGCTGGTCATTGTTTTTGA